GTTTTACACGTCTTACTCATTTGCATGCAGACTAGGTTTCTTGGCTCTCAGGCAGATATACTCTGACTTTGAAGAAAACTCCTATTTAGTCGACTCTTGCGACATTCTTTTGGGTAGGCAGTGGGTCTATTCTCGTTTCCCCACAACAGGGCCCCGGAACCCAAACGGGGATCACTTTTAATTGAAATACACCTATTTTTGACTTGTCTTCGGGATCATAAATGAACTTTACCATTGTCACAATAATAATAATAACTGTCCACAGTTGGTTTCGTGTTCTGCAGAAGAAACCGAAAGGTATAACGATGCAAAATGTAATTAATGGGAAATGCTGCATTTTCGTTTTTGAGCTAATTTTGCCAAAATTGGCTGGTGAGAAGTTAGAGCAATTTATGCAGTCCTGCAGCCTATCGTAGCTCAGTGAGCTTCTACTGGTTGTTTTGATGACATTCATGTGTGAGAAGCTTGATTCACAAGTGCAAGTTGAGCCAGACATAATGAGTATGAATACAGTAAGTTTTTTAGCATTGACGAACTGCTCCTGTTCAATTCTCTCGTTCCAAAACTTGGTGATATCACTTTCTTGAAAATCTTCATTCATTGCGCTGGAACTTTGCATAGCCACAAGTTCTAACTGCAGAGAACCTTCACCAACAGAGGATATCAATTTCTTAGCACTGGAACAAAAATCACACGCAGGAGGGATTTTAAAAGGATCCCGAACAAATAACACTACATTGTTAAGATATTGAAGTCGTCAAATCTGTTGTTTGAATTATTCTGAAGATTTTTTTAAATATTTATATTATTCAATCGGTTAAGGTTGCCGAGTTCAGTGTTGAAGAAATAAAATGGCAAGCATATTGGTTTCGAATTAGGCAGAGTTGGTGATATAAATACATATTTCAGTGTCCAGTCACTGCTGAATGCACGATTTTCACATTCCCACTTACTAGTGCTAGCCATGGCATCAAGTATTTAACTAAATTATTAAAAGTAGATAATTTAAAACACTGTTTCTGGTTCAGTTTGTTAATGTACAATCGCGTCCGAAAATCTACGTCCGACTGTGACTGTGACTGAATGTTCTTCTGGACGTTATATTCTGATAACAAAATCACTAGCAGGTCTTCTGCCGTGTCCAGTGTCTGATGTTCTGCTGCATCCAATGTCAACTAGTTCTTGGCGCCCATTGCGGAGAGATTCTCGGTAATCTAAGCTCTAACTGTCAGGACCGTGCTGGTATTTCCGTACGCCTCCTGTCCAATAAATATCATACCTTCAGTGAATGTCCAGTGCAGCTGTGGCCTTCCCGTTTGTTACTTGGTTCTTTCCAGCCTATCTTATTAGCTTTGGCTTCAAACAGGCGAGTTTTGCTATTTGAGCAAACCGGGAATGAAGTTTTACCCTGATCTAATTACTTGTTCTGTTTCTATGCCGGTTCCCTTGTACCTTGTATTTACAGATTCCTGACAAACATTTTCTACTGACAAATTTGACACATCTGGTTTTTGAAGAATATACAGAAACATTGAGTAATTTAAGTGTTGTTCTTTTCAATAACTACATTTCGCTATTTTGACAAAGATCGGCGGGTCACTTGCTAGGCCTTGGCGGGCCAGATTTGGCCCGCGGGTCGCCAGTTGAATAGCCCTGGTCTAGACACTTTCATGACCACCCGAATGTTTTGCGATGAAATGAGTACCAGGAAATATACTGGGAAGTAAAATCAGCTGATGTGATGTTCACCACATTACCTATCGAAATTGTACCCCCATCTTGTTTTGTTTTTTAATTTTTAGTATGCGCAAGTGAATCATGAATATTTGTAGTTTGTTAGTCATTGTTTTAATCTATATTCTCTGTGTTTTCTTGCCCATACAGTAACATAAATGTACACTAAATATTCACATACTGTTGTAGCCTTATTTCATGAAAATAAAAACTGGTTTCACATGTCTACCCATCTATTCACTTTTTAGTTAGCAGACAGAATTTATTTTAACCCCTCCTTCCGTGATACTTTCTAGTTACAAATATCTACAGTTTAAAAGCAAAATAGTTTATTTTGTAACTGTGTCAGACATAAGAGCCTAAATTAAGATTTCGGATATAAAGAGTTAATGCTACAACTATCTGCATTAGAAGGGAATCGGAAAAGTCCGATGACTGGACGAAATATTGGACTTATGGTGGAAGACAAGGAATGAAAAGGTATTGTGTATATAGGGCTAGACCTATATTTTATAGACCAAATTGCACTTGGTGGGTGATATGGTCAGCATCACACAGGTCGCCTTTACTTCCCAGGACTGTACCTGGTTCCCACTCAAGGCTGGGTCGACCTGGGAGTCAAGGTCAATTTTGAAAAAAGTCCGGCCCCCTTCAGAAACCAAACCAACAACCTTCCGACCCGAAGGCGAGCGTCTAGCCACTGAAAAAAATTGTATAAAAAGAGTTAAACTGGGGTTTCACCAAGACATATTTTTAAAAAAAAAAAACGTACCGTCTATCATTCGTTTGACTCCCATGATGACGACGACAGAGATAGCCGACAATTTGCCCACTGAGGACAACATCTGGAGCCGCTCGGATAGCTTCATGGACATGACGTTCACCAGAAACATGCTCACTGTTGGGGAAGACAGGAGGGGGTGTTGAATAGTTAAGGCCAGCGACATGTGAGAAAACATGTCGTGAACAGCTCTAATCCTAAAGATTAAAAAAGTTAAAATTGAGAAGATCCATATCACTGCACCGCGGTTAATCACATATGGCTCGGTCTCTCTCATCAGAACGGCTAGCCACCTGCTAAGAGCGTCACGCAAGCAACGTAGCTCCGGCGACAATCCCCGTAGGAAATGAACTGATGAACCAAACGGACAATTCTTATCAGCTGTACGTACTGGTGGCAGAGCACTTATGGTTTATAGCCGTGTGCAATGACGCCGGTTCACATCTCCCGACTTTACCTTAACCTTTTTTACACCTCTTTGCAGCTTACCGGACAAATGCTGATTAGAAAACATCTGCCTCCAGGGCTGGCCAGGCGAGGGTGAGAATGATTCTAGCAGTCAGGAATTGCATGGTCAAACGTGCAGAACGGGGTCGGGCATTTTTCTGTTGAAAAACAGACCTTTCCCGAAATAAAAAGACATTGGATCGAAGAATTTCGCTGCCATATTGTTGCGCATTCAAGCGTCCTTCAGTGTTGACTCCTTTCTTTCTAAATGATAATTCCTCATATCGTTGCACCTACACCACCGTGCGACCGAGCTACATTAGCACAATTTTGGGTTTTAACGTTCATTTCACCTACAGCGAACCCTTCACCGTCTGTCATGACTGTAATTTAAAAAAAGAGAGAGATTCGTCACTAAACTAGATCAGTGTTGCCACTTTGGATGTTTTACATCCATATTTAGACATTTTTCCTTGCATTTAGATGGCATTTTTGACGTTTAGATGGTTGATGTTTTTCTAGATGTTTTCATTTGTAGTGAATTTATCAAATGTAACTTAAGAAACAGGATGAAATTAGACCTGTTAAATGCTATCTTGACAATAAAATTCGGCCTGATAATAGTAGGAAAAGGCTGTTCCACTTATCAGCTCCCTTATTAGGTATTAAAAGAAATTGGAATAGCTAAAGCATACCAGAGTCATTTTGGATCTGAAGCTTCAACTTCACCATCCAAGCTAAGTTTATCCTGTGGATCTTGTAAGGCAGACTTCAGTAAAGATGAGGACATGATTCTATAGGGTAAGTCGTATCAATTGCTATGTACTTTGTGACTCTTTCTATTTGGATGTTGTTTCTAGATGTTTTCCACGCAAATGTAGATGTTTTAGATATTTGTTGACTCTGTTTTGGATGTTTTTTGTCCAAAAAAAAAAGTGGCAACACTGAACTAGATACATCCCCATATCAGCTGCCCAGAGACGATGCTGGTTGGTGCAAACAAGTCGATGGTGGCGCGTAAAGACAGGTCCTCGGTGAAGTTGACGTCCCTAAAGTCCAGCTTCATGCAGTCTAATCCAAACAGTTTCATTAGACACATGCCGTCCTGGAGGCAATAACTGGCAGCTGAGGAAGCTATTGTAAAGCTGTTTCTTAGGTGACGAAACCAAATACAGGGATCATCTACTGCTGTTGCCACCTCTGGGTCGTCCTCTGAAATCCTGGACTTTAGCTAAACCAATGGCTTGGAACCGGTGCCAAAGTCGACTGATGATACTCTGATACCTGGTTAGATGCCTGACAACCTGACTTCCACCTGCAGTTTGCCAGTAGCAATGCTCCTTAAATGTAAGGCTAAAGATGCCATACATGTCTACTTAAAAATTAACTTTAAAAAAAAAAATTTATTATTATTTTATTTGTGTAGCCCTATCATTTTATAGGGTTAAGCTGCGTAGTCAGTGAATAGTGTTCATCTGAGCAGTTGTTACTTTCTCATGCGCGCATTTGAGTTATGCTTTGGGAAGAAGAGAAAAAGATGGAAAAACTAGTTAACTACTGCCTTGTAACGATTTTTAAAAAAGGCACCCAATTTTACATATCCTAGCACGAAATTTTGCTTACAAACTATAAAAAAAATGCGTGGTTGGACAATTATGCGCTACAAATTTTCAACAGTATACATCGAATCGCAAACTACTGGACGTAAATTTGCCTAAAAAAACCACATTAGCCAATGCTGGTGTTGGTTCTGCAACGTCTTGTAAAGGATACGCAACTAACATATTTAAATGGAATCTGACTTTCGCGACTGAGAACATGGTGGCATGATCAGCAATAATAGACTGCACCGGCTGGGCATAGAGAGAGAATTTCAGCTGACAGCTCTCTTTACACAAAGAAGATGACTGCGAGTAGCCCCTGCGCGGACCAAGAAGTCTTTAAAGAGATTTAATTTGATTTGATTTGATACAAGAACCGATATCAGAGCACTCGGAACATTCCCATAAGCGCTCCGTCCCCATCTTCAGCAGCCAGTGAAGAGTTCCGATACTAATGGTGCCAGTAGCTTTCTGATGAAACGTCCGTCTTGCCTTTCCTCTGAGCCTCGAGCTTCTGCCAGAACCTCTCGTCACTCCCCGCTGCATCAATCTCACCAGACTTTGGTGATCCATCTGCTCCTCCGAACTGTACACGCTCTTCCACAAGGCACTAACCACGTCTGCCTTATCATGTATTAGTATTTCACCAAGTTGTGCAGAGCCAGCCAGCCTGTCCGCGTGTTCATTTCCCAATAAACCGGCGTGCCCCGGTGAAAAAAAATCCAGATAATACTCCTTACCCGTGTCCTCCGCAGCGAAGCATGCCACTTTGCACGAAGCATACCTGATCTGATCTTCCTCAGCATGCGTTCTGAATCAGTTACAATCACGATGTGTGTGTGTCGTGTTCTCTAGCCAGCGGAAAGCTGCAGTGACCGCTTCCACATCCATTCTTAAGCTGGATGTTGTGGTATCACATGCTAGGCTCTGCTGCACCAAACATCGACCATTAACTTTTGCCAAGAAGCCGCAAGCACTTCTTTTGCCTCTTGACACTGAACCGTCTGTGTAAATGATCAAATCCTCTGAACGAGCATTATCTTGAATTAATTGGTGAATTTCCACCTCTGTGATACCTGCTGGCCAATCTCTGCATTCCCAGCTCAGCGTGATTATGACTCTACACAAGTCTGACTGCTCAGGTGGCACTTTGACCCACTCTTCTTCTCGCCTAATGTTCTCAAGGATGAAAACCTGTCTGATTGTGTCTTCTGCCTGAGCAATCCATGACCTCCCTTTTATCAGCCGCTGACCCTTAACGGCACCCAGAGCTTCATGCAGAGGGTGGTCTGTGTCTGCAGCTACCCTGAGATATGACTTCGCCTGCAGCACCTTGTGCCTACCAACAACCGTCGGCAAACCAAGGATGTATCGCATACACACCACTGGGGTGTCTCTGGTGCAACCCAGAATGACCTGCATAGTCGCATTCTGAATGCGCTCTAGTTAGTGCAACTGTCTCTTTGAGACGGTAAGCAGTCCCAGGCCATAATCAACCACTGACAGGATCAGGTGCTAATATAGTGTTAAAAGCATTTTCTGCTGTATGTCAATTGCAGCCATAGTCTTAAGTGCACTAAGTCCTTTTTGGCTTCTCGTCACAACACTCTCCACATGGTCCTTAAATGATAGGCTCCTGTCAAATGTAATTCCCAGATACCTCAGTTTGCTCTCTCTGTCAACGTTCCTACCATCTATCGTGAGGCTTGGGACATTAGCTTTAACGATTTTTTTCCATTAAAAAATATCCCACATATCTATAGAGAGATGAGTTAAGGCAGTCTTATAAACACTTGAAGTCACCAGCTGCAAAGAAAAGGTCGGTGACAGAAATGAAATGCGACAGACGATATCTGTAGCAAAGAATTTAATTAACGATAGACAAAATTAGGCTTCAAATGTCAAAATTATAAGTTATTGGGAAAAGCAGCAGGTCATGATGGTATAACACCAGAGATGGTCAAATATATGGGAGTCGAAGGTGAGCGCCTTCTACTGAAGGTTCTCCAGGCAGCCTGGTGTAGCGAAACTATACCAAAAGATTGGGAGATTGCCATCATTATACCTATATTTAAAAAAGGTGATAACAGACAATGTGAAAACCACAGAGGCATATCCCTCCTCAGCATTCCCGGTAAAAGTTACTCTAGAATTCTTGAGCAGAGACTTAGAAGTCTGGTAGAGCCACAGCTGGACGAGGCCCAGTGCGGCTTCAGAGCAAACCGAAGTACTCAAGACCTTATCTTCACACTGAGACAGATGAGTGAAAAAGCCCTGGAATATAAGAGTGAGATTCACTTATGTTTTTTGGATCTGGAAAAGGCATTTGACAAGGTACCCTGGAACAAGCTCTGGGACTGCTTGGCAGGGAAAAACATCCCAGCACCCCTGATCAGTGCAATACAGAGTTTCTACAAAAAGTGCAGAAATTATGTAAGAACAGCAGACCAAAAGTCAGAAGAATTTAAGACCACAAGCGGTGTTAGACAAGGTGATATTCTCTCACCTTACCTCTTCATTCTTATGATGGATGATGTCATCAAGACCTGTAAGGAGAAGACAAAGAAGTACTCTGTAGGGTACTGGAAGATGAGACCAATCTGTATATCAGAGCTGGCTTTTGCAGACGATGTGGCCCTGATAGCTAAATCAGAGGCACACCTTCAGTCCAACTTACTTGTCTGGAAGGAAGAGCTTGAAAAGAAAGGGATGACCATCAGTGTCTCCAAAACTAAAACCATGGTGATCTCAAGAGAGGAGAAGAAACACCAGATCATGATGGGTCAGTATGCGTTGGAGCAGGTTAACCAGTTCAAATACCTTGGAGTTGTATTAGACCAAAATGGAGGCATTAAGACTGAGCTGGCTACACGAAAAGCAGCTGCTGGGAGACTCTTCCAGGCCATAAACCGAGGGTTTCTTAGCAAAAGAGAAATTGGCAAGAGGACGAAAAATGGCTGTTTACCGCTCTACCTATGTACCAGTCCTGACCTATGGGTGTGAGTCATGGGCAATGACAACAGCTCACAGAAGTCAGCTGCAGGCCTCGGAAATGAGATACCTGAGAAAGGTGGTCCAAGTGACAAGAAGGGACAAAGTCCGCAATCAGACAATACGTCAAGATCTTGATACCCAGTCCTTACCAACCCGAGTGGATCAGTCACAGTTACGATGGTTTGGACATGTGTGCAGAATGGGAGAAAATCGGCCACCATGGCAAGCATGGGAGGCTAAGAACCAGGGAACCAGACCTCCGGGACGACCCAGGGTGCGCTGGGAAGACAACATCCGACAGTCCCTGACTGACAGAGGACTGGAATGGAACAAAGCCAGAAAGAAAACTGCTGATAGAGACGTCTGGCGATCTCTCTGGCAAACCTCTACACCCCAAGGTAGAAGAGGAGCGACTAAAAAAAAAAAAAAAAAAATCTTCTTCTTCTTCTTCACTTCCTCTTTTACCGCTGTGGGTGTCGAGGGAGATATAAGGTTCTGTTTCTAGCTCTTCTGGCTGCCTCGACCATAGGCACATCGTACTGTTGTAGAGTTTCTCTGATGTTATCCTTCCATCTTGTTCTTGGTCTACCCCGTGCTCTACGTCCTTCTTCTCTTTCCATGTATGCTTTGTATGGTATGGTGTCACAAGGCATTCTCTCTAAGTGGGCAAACCATTTCACTTGTTGTCTTTGTATGTAATCCAGGATTGGTGGTGATAAGACACACCCCTGTCTTACTCCAGATGTCACTGTGAAAGGATGAGATGTTCCCTGATTTATTCTAACTACACTTCTACAATCCCTGTATAAACTTTTGCACACTTCGATGAGGTGTTCGCTTACTCCATATCTTGCCATTATTTTCCATAATAATTGTCTGTCGACTCTGTCAAATGCCTTCTCCTGGTCTACAAATGCCTCAAATAAGTTCTTATTGTATTCAATGTTCTTTTCTATTAACTGTTTAAGTGTGAAGATTGCATCTGTGCAGCTTCTATTTCTCCTAAATCCCATCTGTTCTTCTGCCAGCTGTGGTTCTATCACTGGTCTCAGTCTTGTTTCTATTATCTTGGCATACATTTTGCCAACATGGCTTAAAAGAGAGATGCCTCGATATTGACTGCATTCTCGTTTGCTTCCTTTGTTCTTCCACAATGGTATAACTATTGCATGTTGCCAATCAATAGGGGCCGTTTGTTGTACCCATGCTGCATTGAATATTCTGTGAAGCCATCTGATGCTGCTTTCACCTGCTGCTTGAATTATTTCTGTTGGTAATCTATCAGCTCCTGGTGCTTTATATTTGGGAGACTGTTTAATGACTTTTTCTATTTCATCCATTAGTATGTGTGGTTCTAACACTGTTGCTCTGTGCTCTTCAGTTGTTCTTTCCTGATGATCTCCTAGAGGATTAAAGAGCTCATTGAAGTATTCCCTCCACCTTTCTGCAATCTTGGGTGGATCTATCAGTGGCCTTCCTGTCTTATCATTAATTATTTCAGTGGGGTTGTAGCTCTCATCTCTTTTCCGCATATTTTTAACCACTTTGAAAAATTTTCTGCTGGCTGTTTTCTCATTTTCTGCTAGTGACTCACCGAACGTTCCCATGATGCTTGTTTTGCTTTCTTGACAGTCCTGTTGGTTTCTCTCCTTTGCAGTCTATAGTTTATATAATCTTCTTCTTTCTTTGATTTTATCCACTGTTTATATAAGTCTTTTTTCTTTTTAATTGCTTCTTTTACTTCTTCGCACCATCAAGGTGAATATTTGTTATTTCCCCGTCTGTTTCCACTCTTCCGTTTTCCACATAATTCTTCTGCAATACTAAGCATAGTGTTTTTATATATACTCCATTCTTCCTCAATATTGCCAACTACATGTGGAAGTTGTTTGAATGCTGTCTCTACTTTCTGTTGTAACTGTTCTTTTACTCCTTCCCGTTTAAGATTTGCTATCTTGATGAGATCCTTGTTTTTGTTTAATTTCTTTCTGTGTTTCTTTAATGTAAGATGTTTTGCTGTTAACACAACTATTTTATGGTCAGTGTCACATAGACCATTAGGGATTGCTCTTGAATCAAGAATTCTCCTTCTTCCTTGAACTCTGGTAAGTATAAAGTCAATCTGGCTCTTGATGGAGATATCATTCCATTTGTACCAAGTGTAAAGTTGTGAATCTCTATGGTCAAAGAATGTGTTCGTAATAAAAAGATTGTGCTGGCTGCATAGATCCAATATTCTTTGACCATTTCCATTTCTAGAACTGTTCTTAGCTGCATATGGACCTAAAAATTTTTCGTATTCTCTTCTGTTATTTCCTACCCTCCCGTTGAAGTCACCCATTACATATAGTATGCTGCTTCCCTCAACTTTCTTTATCTCATCAGACAGATCGTCAAATAATTCATCTTTCTGCTCTTCTGTATAATTATCATTGCATGGTGCATATATCTGTATATATGTTTCAGCTTGTTCTCCTCTTTTAATTTTCAAAGTAATAATTCTATCTGAGTGATAATGTATGTCTAATATGTAGTTAGATATGTCTGGATGTACCAGGAAACAATATTATCTGTATACATCTAAATAAATTGTTACATATACACGTAACAGGGCGCCACAAGCTGTATTAGTCGTGGAATAAAATTGATGTTATCTTTTCAGTGCATTAATTATGTAATCATTTTTTTTTAAAAGCCTGTATTTTTTTTTTTTTTTCAAGTTTGCTTTGGCTTTTTCCATAAAAAAATGTCCCACAGGCATGACAGTTTCACAGCTTATGGCAGTGGCGAGTATGACTAGCAAGGACAGTTCGAGTTAAAAAGAATCTTTCACCTAAATTATGTGATTTCAGGACAATTGTTGCGATCGTCTGGAAATTAGATACTAAAAAAATGCCAACGTCTGTTTCCAAGCACAGTTATACCAGCTTGGAGGTCAAGATTAAAGACACTGAAAAAACGTTTCATGGGAACAGTAAGTAAAGGCACTTTGGGATGACTGCTGCTCGAGGGTGGAACTGCGCATGCATGGACTGTCTAATGTGCAGCGACGTCGATTCTGATGCATACGAGGGCTATTCTAAAATCAATCTCCGATTGTCTGGTAACTGTTTGTCATAGCGATACGGTTCATTGCTCGTCTCGTTCAGTAGTCTTTTAGCTCCCGACACATCAACGCCAATTCCTCCCTAACACGACTGTTACTCATAGCGTTATCACCCTAAACCCTACACGATCGACAATAAATTCCAGGGACATTTTGATTTTTTCTTGAAGAAAACAAATCAGACTATGAATTTCACAGCCTTTCGTGGGAAAGGCAATAAGACTGTCGGTGTTTATTTGTTCAAGATTTGTAAACGACTGTACAAATGCGACTGTTGATTGATACGTAGTGAGCTAAAAGACTACTGAATGATGCCAGCAATGATCGGGGTCGCTATGCCAAACGGTTTATTTGTACCGGTCAGTTGATTTTTGAATTGCCCTCATATAATAACAAATATCAAGGCGCCTTTAGCGTGAATATGTATTTTAGACTTCTAGTCAACTTAAATTAATGGTAGTGTATAGAACTAATGCCTGCAGCACTTACACACTGTCAATGTGGCTAGAACATTCAAGAAAAGCTTTGATGGCCCACAATCGTCGTAAATAGCGTCGGCCACGTAATCGGTGAAAGCCAGGGCAAAGACGGCCGTAGATGTGGGCTCAGCAGCGGCTGAAACAAATATACAGCTAATAATTTGGGATCTGGGCAAGGCTATCTTGCTAGATATCAAAATATACACCATGATACTTTACACTTGCTAGAAGCTTCCTTGTAGTTCTAAGCTAAAAACATAATGTTAACTTCATATCAAAACGTTGCTTTCAAACTGAAAATGTGTAAAAAGACGGCACAGATTCACGTTTTTCACACATGTTACAATTGTTACAATCACACTTTTTCACACTATACAGTTTACTTTATGTCTAACGGTCAGTGGTGTGTCTTTAGTCTGTTAACTGGTGCTACCTAAACTTTGCAGGAGTGGCAAATTGTGTATACCATATAATCCGCTCGAGCAAAAAAGATGGCTGATATTTGATTTTTCCTATTTCCGGGGCGGAAAGTGGTGGGGTGAGGTGGGGGGGGGGGAACTATCTCCATGATTACGTCAATCGATTTACTTCGCTGTCTAAAGTTCGTGGGTTCGTTTCATATACTGCATAGTTAAGTGTGTCATTCTTACACAGATCCCAGCAGATGTCGTTAGAGCTGCAGAGTTTGTACTTTCTGCTACTCGATGTAGGAGGTAGCCCTTCTGCGGAGAGAGACCGAGCTAAATGGGATATAAATGTGTGCAATGAAGTTAATTTACCAAGTTTAACACTTGTCTAAAATGAGCGGGAGACAAATCATTGACTGACTGGGTGATTTAAAATCAGTTTAATTGAACTCTGGTCATTCAATGCGTGTTTTTAGTTCTCATTAAAAAGCAAATATCACAATATCAGAAGGTGGTATATCATGAGCTTAGTGTTTATGAATTTTAAAATATTTTAATCACATGTAAAGAGACCACACGCGGACACGGACACACTAGAAGAGATGACGAGACAAAAACAAAATCACGAGTAAAGTCAAAATACCGCCTGCGTACACAGCCCTCTCATGACTGCGTCTGAATAGACGACTTAATAAGCAAATTTTAAGAGTTAGAGAAGTTGACTACACAGTAAATACTAGTTGTGAACGGGTAACAGTCGTCCACTCGTTGGATGAAATCTTTTGTTTGAAGCCCCACCCTGGCTTCTGTCGGGAGCCCTGAATATAGCTGGGGCAGAGAAATAGCCTAGCCATAGATATGGCCAAACGGCTGAAAGGGGTTTCTGGGACCTCTTCACGGGTGATCCTCATCCGCATGGTGGCACTTTGTGTCACCGGGTGTTTATCACTCTGTTTGATGTCCTGGTGGGGTACAACTTACCTACTTACCTAACTACTTTGTGAACTAGAATACAGTTGTGGGGAGGGTGGGAGGGGGGGGGGTGATATTGACTTCCTCTATAACTAACGAAATTTTAATAAATGTTTTTAAGATGTTGTTTATATACACACACACACACACACACACACACACATATATATATATATATATATATATATATATATATATATATATATATATATATATATATATATATATATATATATATATATATATATATATATATATAAAGGTAAAGTCGGGAGGTGTGAACCAGCGTCATAGCACACGGTTATAAATCAAAAGTGCTCTGCCACCAGTACGGAGTGCTGATAAGAATTGTCCGCCTGTGTCGCCGTTCGCACGTAACTCTGTAGCTACAGCGACGTTCCTCCATTTACCCCAGAGTAACACTCTGGTACCCATTTCCTAGAGGCTGGGTGAACCCCGGGAAACGCCCGGTTTCGAACACCGACCGTGGGCTGCAGCGAGTCGCAGCTGGATTTGAAAGCGAGCTTCTTATCGACTGCGCTAACACGGCTTCATATATATATCTCCTATCTATGTCACACTAGAACAGATCTACAGTCAACATAAACTGTAAGTAGCTGCCCTTCTCTGATATATGTCACACTAGAACAGATCTACAGTCACATTGTCTGTTTGTGACTACCCATCTCCTATCTATGTCACACTAGAACAGATCTACAGTCAACATAAACTGTAAGTAGCTGCCCTTATCTGATATATGTCACACTAGAACAGATCTACAGTCAACATAAACTGTAAGTAGCTGCCCTTCTCTGATATATGTCACACTAGAACAGATCTACAGTCAACATATATTTGGGTTCTCATCATTGCACTCTGGACATCTCCATGGGTGCTCAGATCCTCCCCTCAGTATGAACCCCAACGTCAGATGGCTAATAGTACTTCTATGTTGATTAACAAGTCTTCTGGTGTGTCTAGTGTGCGTCTCGTTTTTTGCTATGCCGATCTCAATTCCCAAGTCTGCCATTCTGGCGAATCATGTGGATTCACTGCCCCCAAAGTCCTCTATCCTTCCCATTTCTCTGAGGGCATTAATAATATCAGCATGATCCATAGCCTGACAGTCGGTAGTGATAACGGATCCAGCAAACATATCAGCTCTTTAATTTCCATCGACGACTGCGTATCCCAGAACAAACATAAAGGTGACTCCAAGCACAGTAGACTTCTGTAATAATTCGAGACATTGTCTTCGCACCAAACCTGCCCGAACCCTCTGAATCATACTCACTGAATCACTGAGTATACATACGCGGGTGTAGTTTTGTGTCAGAACAAGGGAAATAAATATTTTGTATTTTGCAAGCCGTTTTGGTCTGAAGCCTGTTTGTTCTTCTCTAAGCCTTTCATCTATAGAATTAGGTGGCTGCGTGGTCTCGAGGCATGGTTTCTACCTCGAGTGCTAGAGGTTCCGGGTTCAATCCCCGGTAAGGGCTGACATTTTCTCACGTGGACTTGGACTTCTAGTAATTTCCCCTGGTCTGTGGGTAGTGAGATAGGACACCCGTGTGCATTGTTGCGCACGTAAAATATCCCTAGCCAGTTTAAAATCGAAAAGAGTAGCCTAACGACACTGTTCGGGCAAAAAATGTGGAGCAACACTTTTGAAGTAAACTTCTGTCTGCCACGGCAAATCTAACTAGCGCTGTTTAGTGTTTTGGCAGTTTGAAAATTACTAAATAATTTTGGGACAATTTTCGGGTCAGGATGAGAAATGTTAGAGAAATAAACACACCACTTGTTAAAGAAAACCAGCTCACACGACAACGAGCAACACTTTTGAAGTAAACTTCTGTCTACCACGGTAAATCTAACTAGTGCTGTTTAGTGTTTTGGCAAACTTATGCTGGCACAGTCAAACTTGAACTTTTACTAAAATTTCTGTGAGAAAAATCAAAAGAACGGAGATGAGGTATCTTAGAACAGCTGTTGGAATAACAAAACGTGACAAAGTTAAGAAATCAAAGACTAGGCCTGAAATCGGTCAGATGTTAAAAACAACAAACAGATGCCATAGTTTTGGCTATCTGTTGAAAATGTCCTGGTACGAACCTCCACCTAGAGCCACGCTGAAGAAGTACAGCGGGCACAGAGAAAGCAGAAGACCACATCATCATCAAGTGGCTTGCCGACTGGCGCGGGCTATCATGCCTCTCCACAATCTGCAATCCACAGCTGCGTGTATCATCCCTTAATGCCATGAAAAAAAGACTGTCAAGAATCTTCTTACGCTGCCCTCCCCCTATCTCTTTTTTGGCAGATCTTTCCAGTGGTCGCAACATATTCCAGTTTCCCTCTTATCATAACATAACCAAAAAATGTTGATTTTCTCTTCCTGACGAAGACCACATAAAATATGCAATAATGACATCAAGGGCAGCCTTAAGGAAGTTACGAAAACCATGTATACAGGCCGTTAGAAATAGCACATCAGCCGCAAGCCCCCATATTTGCCCCTCCCAACACTTCAATAAAGTAACTGGGGGAATTGAAGAAGCAGAAACACAAATTTAAGGGAGATAACCTGTTAATGTATCAATACACTTTTCCATAGAACTGTCAACTTGCGTTTCCAAATTAGTTAAGCAATCGAAACTTTATTTTTAATTTGCCTAACTTAAGCTTTTGAAAATAGATATGGGTTTACCTAGATATGAACCAAAACAGAAGGCAGTCTTGAATTTTTAATTACATTGTAGAAGTATTTCACCATTGTTTGAAGCAGAAACAAAAATATTGTTTCAAATTTAACAATCGCCCACACTTTATCGCTAGGAAAACTTTATCGAGGGGAGGAAGTGGTCAGCCTGGCAAGCTGCCATAACCTCTTAATGTTCTAAATAAAATAAACATGGAGCGGATGTCCTAGAAAGGTGTTAATTAATCAGATATGTAGTATAAAATTAAGTGGTATCTCCAAGCGAACATTCTATCCTTATCTGCTATTTGTTATTCTTCCCTTACTCGTCTGCCGCTTTCGGTGTTAAGACAGATACAAGATTCAGGATTTTGCTCTTCTGGTCGCCACAAACACTTTATACTGTTGAAGAGGTCTTACGGTGCTATCGTTCCATATTTTTTTATGGTCCTCTTTAGGGCTCTACATCCCCTTTTGGTATATACCATTTATGGACTAGTGTAGACTGTAGATCATTTCTAGTAGGACATAGATCATGGATGGGTGGCTATCAACAGAACATGTTGAGTGTAGATATGTCCCAGTATGATATAGATCAGAGATGGGAGGTTATCACTTACCTATTCTCATCCAGGAGTAGGCGAACCCAGCTACCGGACCGAAAGCCTCGGTGATGTAAGCGTATTCGACTCCTTCCCGCTTGACAGATTCACGGAGCTCAGCAAAACATAAGGCAGCTGGTGGAGAAGTAGAACTTAAATAAATCGTTGGCTGTTGCACTCCCCCCCCCTATATTTGTATATATATATAGTTACGTCACCTAGCTGCTGAGCTGAGTGTATGGCGCGACACTGTGAGCTGCTAATTTAATTTGGAATACGTTACGATTATGTCCAACATGGTTAGTGTTGTGAACTGCAGATTCAGACAGAAAATATCCAGTGGGATGTTACCACAGGATTTACCGCAGATCTGTTGTAATATCTGCTTCTATATGCGATTAATGAATTCTAGTGGCGGGCTGTTTGTACTGTGTGGGCGATCATGCCCCTCCATGCCCCTCCATGATCTGAGATTACCTGCAGCATGTATCAATTCATGTGCCGACACACTCCATGCCATGCAACAAGACTGTCAAGCATCTTCTCCCGTTGTCTTCCTCTGTCCCATCTTCCACAGATCTTTCCAGTGGTCACATGTTCTATTTTCCCTCTTCTCATAACATGGCTGAAAAATGATGACTGTCTCCTTCTGATGTCTGTGATTAGTTGTCTTCGGGCTCCCGCCTCTTTTAAAACCTAAGCATTCTTCAGTAAAACCACATCTCCGAGGCCTCAAGAAATACCTACATACATACACACAAACACACATACACACATACACACATACAGACAGACAGACAGACAGACAGACAGACAGACAGACAGACCGACCGACCGACCGACCGACCGACCGACCGACCGACCGACCGACCGACCGACCGACCGACCGACCGACCGCCTGCCTGCCCGCCCGACCGACCGACCACACAAACACACACACACACAACACACACACACATACACACATCCATCCATCCATCCATCCATCCATCCATCCATCCATCCATCCATCCATCCATCCATCCATCCATCCATCCATCCATCCATCCATCCATCCATCCATCCATCCATCCATCCATCCATCCATACATACATGCATGCATGCATGCATGCATGCATGCATGCATGCATGCATGCATGCATGCATGCATACATACATACATACATACATACATACATACATACATACATACATACATACATACATACATACATACATACATACATACATACATACATACATACATACATACATACATACATACATACATACATACATACATACATACATACATACATACATACATACATACATACATACATACATACATACATACATACATACATACATACATACATACATACATACATACATACATACATACATACATACATACATACATACATACATACATACATACATACATACATACATACATACATACATACATACGTACGTACGTACGTACGTACGTACGTACATACATACATACATACATACATACATACATACATACATACATACATACATACATACATACATACATACATACATACATACATACATACATACATACATGTACTTACGTATAGACGGACAGACAGACAGACAGACAGACAGACAGTCATTCAGACATACAGACATACAAACATACACAAAAACCTTAAACTTCGTTTTGCGATGCTAATACTGTACTGGTTTAATGCATTTTTTTTAATAGTCTTTTTTAAATCATGTCTGTCCAAAAAGAAACAGAGAAAATCAAAACTTATTCCTGAATTTAAATGAAACAAAAATAAGGTCCAAGGATAAAACTGGCTGTCACACACCAAAAAAAAAACAACCAATAATTGATGAACAAATTGAAAATGTCACAATCTTTGAAAATCTAGGCTCTGTAATAAATAGCGATGGAGACTGTTTGACAGAACTCAAAAGAAGGAGGGCCATAGCAACGCAAATATTGAACATCATTAAAAGTCTATTAGCACCAGCAAGGAAATCAAAATTACAATTTTGAGAACATGAATCTTTTCTGTAGCTTCATATGGATGCGAGTCGTGGACTATCTCAGTCCTTAGGCAAGAAAATTTGAACTTTTGGGCTGAAACGCTTTAGAAAGATCCTCGGAATACCATGGGCAAAGAAGAGAACACATGCTGACATCTTGACAGATTTAAACATCAATGATCATTGGTTTATAAACAGTATCCTGCCTCGGAAGCTAAAATAGTTTGGTCATATTGAGCGCCATGGCGAATTACACAAAGTAATAGCAGGAGGCATGGTACCGGGAAGGACAGACAGGGCCGACCAACACAAATATGGGCACAGGATATAAGTGTCTCCTTGAATATGAAAGCGCATGAGGCGGGAGACTGAGTTTATTTCACGCAGACCATGATGAGAGCGACGTTCTGCGAAGGACCTGCCACATGATGATGACTTTCGTCCTACTGCTTACGTCGTGAAGCATCACATAGAATAGCTAGATGTGGTTTCCTGTCTTCTGCTAGGTGCCCAGCTTGTGGTAATGTCGGTCTCATGACCTGTAGCCTACTGTTCTTATGTGGTAAGCTTTAACTGCTGGCTGATTTAGTTCAAGTCTGTCCAAATAACCAAACCATTTGATTCTTTGATGCTCTATCAAATCATTTACCCGTACTGTGCATGTCACGGCTCTTAGTTCTTCGTTGGTTGATGTGTCTTTTCTTGTTTTTCCGATCGCACATATTTGACTTTTCAGATGCTGTAATTTTGGGTTTGTTTTTCTAGAACTATCCATGGGTGGAATTGATAACGCAGAGTTGCTACCCATAGCTTATTTATCAGCTGATTTTGTGCGAGCGTTGATATTTGGATGCCTCACAAGTTGCGCTATTTTGTCTTTTCACCCCAAATATGGCTATTTTTAAAAAAGGAGGAGGGCGAGGCTACCCAGGGTAGACCAAGCGGGTCAAAGGGTCTAATCTAACGGAGCCACTGGTCTACACGATGCTTTAGACCAAAGATAATAGAAGATGTGCAGAAAATATGATGGAGACCATTAATGATGTGTGTCGCATCCAGCTGTCTCATATTCTAGGTCCCTGCCTAATGAAATGAGGTGAACAGTTGTCTTTCTCTCTGTATGCAATACCCGGGAAATGATTAATATTTCCCAGTTCCAATGTTATGACACTTGGTTTTCCCCAAAATTGTGACCTTTACCGGAATCTTATTTAGACAGCCTCTCAGCGATTTACCTGACGCTCTCAGGTATCAAAATGGCATTTTCAACTATTCTCAGATCAAATCTCTAATGTGGTTTGCCATCAATCTGAGACTATTATGTAACTTACCACATATTAAAAATTCTAATGCAACTTTCAGCACACCATTGAGACTCGAATGTTACTTTCCAAATAACTGAGACTCGATTGTTAATGCAACTTTCAACACACCACTGAGGCTCGAATGTTACTTTCCAAATAACTGAGACTCGATTGTTACTTACCACACATGCTGAACATTCCGGAGAACGTCCACATTACAAGACTCATGCCAACTGAACCAACCCCAGCTAAAACTCCCTTGGGGGTCCCGAATATGCCCGGCCCTGAAAATAGAATCGTCATATTTAAAAAAAAAAAAAAGAAATTTACAAAAACGTGAAGCTCAAATTGTTGTTATCGATGAGCGCTTTACGAAGACAAAAGTAATCAGTTGAGTTATTGTGGTTACACTAGATAACATAAAAACGTTCAAGCAAGGGGCACGTTGAATCGGATCTGCAACCTTCCAAAGAGCTGTGTGCAGCTTTTCGTGTACCAAAATACAGTTGTTTAATTTGACAATGTGTTAGTGTTGATATGTAGACAATGGATTTGAGCCCACTCTGCATAAGACTGACTGACCGACTTTCAACCCCACCAGAACGACACAACAAGCAATGAACACCTCGTGACACAAAGTGTCACCATTCGGATGAGAATCATCCGAGCACAAGTCCCAGAAACCCCGTTTAACCGTTAGGTTATTTTACGGCCCCCGACAACAGCCGGGGTGGGTATTTAAAATAACAAAACAATGAGTCCCATGTGGGATGCTAGGTCATTTTATTTAATCCTTGTACTCTAATTGCTTTATTATAATCCACAAGTGTCTGGACAATCGCTGATATCACCACTTATATGAAACGTTATATGTCCATATATTAGCCACATCATGAGGACAAGCTGGCAGAAAATCACTCAACAGGCACTGAAATGGACACAAGTGGAGTCTGGAAACGAGGACAATCAACAGAAACCCCAAGACGAACTTTGTTGAGAGAGATAACAGATGACGGACTGGATTCCAACCATATTGTCGTAACCACTGCACAGGATAAAACGAAATTGATGACCAAACTGCGAGCCGCATTCAACATATAAAGGTTTGATACGATTTTACTTTTTTTAAGTTTTCCCTCTTAAGGATTGCAGTATGTAGGATTGTAATTGCGTTGTGCCTCTTTACAGAATGGCTGTGATATTTGCGCCTTTCGGCCGACACATCCGACTTCTGCAGGTATTTGTTTACCGGGTTAACCTTCCCGGTTTGATGATAATGATGCTAGTGATGTATAAATGTAAATAACTTGTGACTTATTGTAAATAATTCTGCATTCTTGGTGGAAAACGTGAAGTTCCCAATTTCTTTTTACAGATGCATTTTCAGTATTCTTTTTATGTGATATGTGTTAGTGACTAGGTTCCCTCTGCAAAACAAATTCAATGTACACAGCCGCAGTGGCGCTATGTTTAGTAATACTGTCTATACGCAGTGGCGCTATGTTTAGTAATACTGTCTATACGCAGTAGCGCTATGTTTAGTAATACTGTCTATACGCAGTGGCGCTATGTTTAGTAATACTGTCTATACGCAGTGGCGCTATGTTTAGTAATACTGTCTATACGCAGTGGCGCTATGTTTAGTAATACTGTCTATACGCAGTGGCGCTATGTTTAGTAATACTGTCTATACGCAGGGTGATCAAAGCTGCCCCCCCCCCTTTTTTTCCACCAATGAAATGGATTTATTTTAAATGGCCTGAGCTATCATGTAGATTTGCCATGAAATGGCCATCAGGACATTTGTCCGAAGAAAGCAGTTGGCGAAATAAGTGACCGCTTTATTAATGGAGCTTATGTATTGAGAGCCCAACGCACCGCGATCGAAACCCACTGCTGGCTGCTTGGATTTTTATCCAGGGATGGGGCGTCGCAGGTCCACCAAGCCTAAAATGGGCACCAGGATGTATGTCCTGGGGAAGTAAAGACTGCCGGCGTAATTCTTACCACATTGCCCACCTAGTGCCGATTGGTCTGTAAAAATATGGGTACTCTTCCCATGTGCCCGTTGCGCCTAAGGCGTGAAAACAGATCTTTACTTTTATTTTTCCTAATGTGTTTCTTTTTTTTTAAAAAGCACCGAGTCTTATACTAATTGTTGCTCCGTAAGACGTCTTAGGGCTTGTCCCGGGTTGTCTATTTTTATTTTATATAAGGCGTTTGTATCACTACATTTTGCATGTAGACACATTAAAAAAATTTTTTTACAAGAATTACACTACGTCATCAAAAAGTGTGTCCCGCAGTCAATCCTGAAGCAATATTCAGTGGATGGTTGTCGTCTGGTGAAGTAATTCTTTGCACTCAACACAAAATTGTGTTTTCAACTAAACAAAGAACTCTTTTCGGTTAAAAAAGTGGTTCTAAACGGCGGTTGATACACACGGATGGTTTATTCAAAAATTTATACCAAGAGTTTCTGATAAACAACCTTCTCATCACATTACGGCTAGAAATTCATTGAATTTCTAGCTACGGGAAAAGTGGAAGATACTCTTAGGCATGCTAGCACGTTGCAGAAGGTATTTGACAATACGAAGAGACGTTTGCAGTTATATATGAAGCCCATGACTGACATTTCCAACACCTGTTATAATGAATTGGATTGTTTTTTACCCCACCAGGACATCACACAAGCGATAAACACCCGATGACACAAAGTGCCACCATGCGGATGAGGATCACCGTGGAGAGGTCCCAGAAACCGCGTTCAGACATTTGGCCATAATGATGACCTGCCTATATTGCGGCCCCTGGCAAAAGCCAGAGTGGGGCTTCAAATAACAAAAAAAATAACGTCCTAAGAAGGACGTGATTAATTAAGTGTGTTATAATGAATATTTCTGTAGGACTTTATAGTTTTCCTAAAACATCGTCTAAAAGGGGCAGTAACTATTGTAACTAATTTGATAATATTTTAGCAAAACTTTTTTTTATGACGTCATGCGTTTCGTTTTTCAATTTTTTTTTTCAGCATACAAACTGTAGTGAGACTTTACAAACACCTTGTTTATGTCTTTACATTGCAAATAATGAATTACTGTTAATATTATCATTTACTTACAGCATAAATGTCAGTATTTATTTAGTACTGTATGATTCAATTTAAATAAGTAAAATTTTATGCAATATTTCTTTTTCAACTGACAGAAGACAGCGTATTTTCGAGAGCTGATATACGGAAGCGAAACATCGACAATTGGAGGATTAGTGAGAAAAAAAGCAGCAGAGATGTCGTTTTATAAATAAATGATAAGAATACCTTGGACAGTAATAGGAGAAATGAAGAGGTCCTGAAATAACCTGATTCACGAAGAGAACTGATTGCCCACATCAGAAGCAGACAATATAAATTCTGTGGTCATGTAATGAGATGGTATACAGCTTATTTAACAAGGTTTATCAATTTATATAACAAAGGGAATCATCGTCATATAGCGGCTAGACGCTCGCCTGCGGATCGGAAGGTCTTTGGTTCGGGTCCTGACGGAGTCACACTTTCTTCGTAAATGACCCAGCCTTGAGGGGGTAATCCCGGCCAGTAAAGGCTGCCGGCGTGAGGCTGACCACATTACCCACCAAGTACCGATTTGTCTCTAAAATATAGGTCTAGCCTAATACGCATAAATGCGAAGAAAATGTCGTTTACTTTACTCATGTTAAAAGAACTAGGTGGAAAAAAAGTCATGGCAGGTTGTGTGTGTGTGTGTGTGTGTGTGTGTGTGTGTGTGTGTGTGTGTGTGTGTGTGTGTGTGTGTTTTGTGTTTTTTCAAGGTTAGGTATTATTTTCGTCATACGTCACAAACATTGTACAAGTTACTTGACAAGAGGTACTTGCCGATAATGGCGTTAATGACCAACGAGCCTCCGTACAGCAGTCCGATCTCCTTGCCCAGGTCATTCTGCCCTGGTTTGTCTTTCTTGTCATCTTTTTTCCCGGCCGGTTCTCCTCGCTCGCCACTGGCCTGGCTGATGTGGTCCCTGTCAGTCCATGAAACAGAAGGCCTGGGAATGGACCCTGAAACAGAAGAAACGAATTCTTTTGTTTTTCTTGCTGTGTTAAATTTGTCAAAGCTTACTAGACGATTTAAACTTGCATAAGCGGAATTCTAAAAAGTGAAGTATGCAATAAATGGAGGTGAGGGTGGGCATTTTTAGTATTACTTTTAACATGTTCCCCCCAAAAAGTTTAAAATACTGCAGAGAGCCAGTTTTGACATGTGGCAAAAAGCAGTTTTAAAATACTGCAGAGAACCAGTTTTGACGTCAAGTAAAAATCAGTTTTAAAATACTGCAGAGAACCAGTTTTGACATGTGGCAAAAACCAGTTTTAAAATACTACAGAGAACCAGTTTTGACATGTGGCAAAAATCAGTTTTGAAATACTGCAGAGAACCTGTTTCAAAATCAAGCAAAAGCCAGTTTTAAAATATTTCAGAAACCAGTTTTAACATCAAGCAAACACCAGTTTGAAAATATTGCAGAGAACTGTTTTGACATAATGAAAAAAAAAAAAATTACCTTTTCAACATATTGCTTTCCCTTTGAGGATTCCATGACTTAATTTTTGAGGACATTGAACAGACCCACTGTCCGTGGGCCGTAGGTCACTGTCCCCAACAAGAATATCATAGGAGTGAATAATTAGAGACGCTGCCTTTAAAGTCAGAGTGCATCTGACCGAGGCAAGAAACCAATATTCTGCCTACAAATAAGCATGTAAAACAGAGGTGCACACAAAGTCCAAGCTCTGGGTTACAACCAAAGTTCAGGAGTGGACAAACACCCGGAACTTTCTATCTCTTTTAAGCCGGTGATCGCAAAGAAGAGGAAAATACATACAAATAATAGTCAAAGCCCAAAACTCCTGAAATATCTGTCATGAGAGTGCACACTGTGCGAGGATTCACATCATATAAGCCTGGGTGCTTGGATTCATTGAGCGTTTTCATCAGACATTAGTAGCTCAGGCAAGCTGATATGTAAAAATGCAACATAAACTGTGACTGGAAGGCTCAAAGAAAAGACTGGAAAGGGCAAACACAACTGAACGTTTCGACAAGTCTTTATCAAGGAGCAAGTAACACGTAAGTGTTATAGTCACAGTTTGTGTTGTATTCATTAAGTTCATCAGACATGTGTGTGCTAACTGGTATTTATTATTAAAAGTGTCGTGCTTGCCTGGGGCGTCTACACATAAGATCCACTACCCCGAAACTATATTTTAATTTGATTTTTTTTTTTTTTTATGATAAACTGCATTTACATTAGAACTATAGTGGTGTTTATTTCGCTTTCTTGTCGAGACTGCAGTTATTATTATCCAGGATGCAAGATGCTTTACCGCAGCTAGTAGTATTGCTCCAGGTCAAGAATTTAGACTTGTCAAACATATCTCTATCTTTCCGTGATCGTCCTAGAAACGGATTCCCGACCGGGTGCCTGTACCAATGAGAGGATCGACCTTCGTTTCAATGTCGCTGCGCAAATGCCGAGTAGGCCATAAACCAATAGTCTGCATATAGTAAGCCAAATCTGCATAAAGGACACTCAAATCCTGCGAAAAAAATAAGTCCACATGGACGAACACACTGGGTTTTTTTCCCCCGCAGAAATTAAGAGCTGGTGGAAGAAGAAGAAGAAGAAGAAGAAGAAGAAGAAGAAGAAGAAGAAGAAGAAGAAGAAGAAGAAGAAGAAGAAGAAGAAGAAGAAGAAGAAGAAGAAGAAGAAGAAGAAGAAGAAGAAGAAGAAGAAGAAGAAGAAGAAGAAGAAGAAGAAGAAGAAGAAGAAGAAGGTGATGATGAAGAAGAAGAAAGAAGAAGAAGAAGATGATGATGATGATGGTGGTGCTGATGAATACGATGATAAGAGAATGTAAGGAAAAGGAAATCGATTGTTATGCTAAAAGGTAATAGCTAATAGGTTTATACATATATATATATATATATATATATATATATATATATATATATATATATATATATATATATGTGTGTGTGTGTGTGTGTGTGTGTGTACATATACAAACACACATATAACTTTTATAACTTTTATTAAATGTTATTAGTTAGTTAGTTAGTTAGTTAGTTAGTTAGTTAGTTAGTTAGTTAGTTAGTTAGTTAGTTAGTTAGTTAGTTAGTTAGTTAGTTAGTTAGTTAGTTAATCATCATTGCAATCCTGACATGTCCATGGGTGCACAGATCCTCCCCTCAGTATGAACCCCAACGTCCGGTGGCTAATTGTACCTGTTCTATGCTGATTAACAAGTCTTCTGATGTGCCGGGTGTGGGTCTCGTGTTTTGCTATGCCGATCTTAACTCCCAAGTCATTCTGGCGTTTGAAGTGAATTCACTGCCCCCAAAGTACTCCACCTTTCCCATTTCTTGGAGGGCATTAATATTATCAGCATAATTCATAGGTTGATCGTCAGTTGTGACAGCGGATCCAGACAATCTATCAGCTCTTTTATTTCATGTTATTAGAGTGTGTGCCTATACTTCGTTTTGTAGTTTGTCATTTTTTTTTTTTTCGTTATTTAGAGAGCATTTAACGTCAGACTTGAGTGTATGTCTTTGAAAAACATGTTCAGGGGTGTGTGGTCTAGCTGGTCTGTCAGCTGAAGAGATTATTACAACGCCCACAAGGGCAATAAGCTGGGTTATTATCATGTGCCCTGGGAGAAAACATCACGCTTCCGGAGTTGAATGACGTACCAATTAATTATCATTGTCAGTTCACAACCGCCTGTGTTTAGGTCATGGCTTCCCACGGATCAGAAACTAGAAGCGGACGGCTACAACAACAAATTGAGATTCAATGTTTCAATTATAAACCACTTCGTTTATCTACAGGTTTTGTTCTGAAGCTTCTGCAGCTGTATTTGTTAGTGACTGCTAGACACCACAAGAGTCGTGGTACCGCAGTGGCTAAACGTTTGCTTGCAATCCGGAGGGTTTTAGGTTCGAATCCTAACCAGGATGGAATTTTCTTCTATAACTGAACTTCAACTGAACGTAAACAGACTACTTGAAAGTACCCTAGCGTGTGTGTGTGTTTGTTTATATCCAGAAACCATAAGTTGCAAACACTTTTGGCTCGGTACTATGGATATCGAAACCCTTTTGCCTTGACTCCATTATAAATACCGTAAATCTGGGAGAGATGTGGCTTTTCGGCCTCCCTCTGCCGGGCACCCTGGCGTATAAAGGTGGTCATTTCATTATTCATCGAGTATCGATTGGAGAATGCAAACTTGGGGTCTATAATTAAACTCCGATGTGCTCCTGGCACAAAGGCGTCCTTTACTTACCTGAGCAAGCGACTGACAAATTGACAGCTGGGAAGGTTATCAACATATAACAGTTTTAGTCACCTTCTTCCATTGTCTTGTTGCCGACAATGTTTCTTCATTCGTCTCACACACAAACTTAGTGTCTAAAGCTTAACGGTTGTGAAATGTGTCATATTGTTCATTGTTCGTTTAAAAATCATCATCATCGCCAATCGAACATGACCATAAGTGCTCCGATCTTCTCCTGAGTATGTCTCCAAATGTTTATGGCAAACAATTGCTATTCTGTGCTGGCTGATGTAACTACGGGTGGCTCCCGCATGGGTTTCTGCCTCGCAGTTCCAATTAGTACACTGTCTAGTATGCAGTCTATTCAGTTCACAGTCCCGGTGTACCAGGTTTTGAAGTGATCTGCAGGCTATATGGTAGCAGATCGCTTTGCGTGGATTTTGAAAACAGTGTGGACGTCGTACAGTTCGAAAAGTAATGGCAAACTATTATATGTTGAAGTGTCTAGTAAAACTTTTTATTTAGTAGACTATACTATATTTAATAAGTTTTGTGGTTGGTATCACGCTGGCCTCCTTTACTTCTACAAACAATTCTGGTATTTGTTGCTAGTTATCCTTAACCAGAAATTCAGGGCAATTTGAAAGAAATAAATATAATGTTTCGTGACCATCATAAAACATGACAAACAGGCTGTCAGATATGCGTGCTAGCAACTGAATAACAATAGCACCAAATCAAATTTTTTTTTTTGAGCTTCCATCTCCTTCTAACCCCCCCCCCCCCCCCCCTTCCCCCGTCTATCTGACTTTCTTTCTTTCTTTCTTTCTTTCTTTCTTTCTTTCTTTCTTTCTTTCTTTCTTTCTTTCTTTCTTTCTTTCTTTCTTTCTTTCTTTCTTTCTTTCTTTCTTTCTTTCTTTCTTTCTTTCTTTCTTCCTTTCTTTCTTCCTTTCTTTCTTCTTCTTCTAGTTCTTTCTTTTTTCTTCTTCTTTTTCGCCTTCACCGGCTACAAATTTCAACGGGAAGTTTAGGTTGTTCGTTTACTTATCATCTTAAACTAAGATAAGGACGCAAAAGCCCCACCCACACCCACCCACCCCCACCTTGTCTATGCAACATGAACGTGGGTTTTGAGCTGAGGGCCTCCAGCGTGTTTGTGTGTGTGTTATGTGTGTGTTTGTCGGCTCCCCTACTCTCCATTTCAAGTCTCGGTCTCTATGTCCGTCCGTCCGTCCGTCCGTCCGTCCGTCTGTCTGTCTGTCTGTCTGTCTGTCTGTCTGTCTGTCTGTCTGTCTGTCTGTCTGTCTGTCTGTCTGTCTGTCTGTCTGTCTGTCTGTCTGTCTGTCTGTCTGTCTGTCTGTCTGTCTGTCCGTCCGTCCGTCCGTCCGTCCGTCCGTCCGTCCGTCCGTCCGTCCGCCGTCCGTCCGTCCGTCCGTCCGTCCGTCCGTCCGTCCGTCCGTCTGTCTGTCTGTCTGTCTGTCTGTCTGTGCAACACGTCGGATGTTCGAATTTGTGGAACTGATTCGGATCACTGGCCTTCTTGACCTAAAATTACCAACTTAGCGACATCTTCAACGTGCATAGCCAGCAATCTATCATTTTAACAAGATAATCGCGGGCTTGGGGAGTTAACCACAGAAAAAATACAATTGCAGCTACCTTGGTTTTCAAAATAGGCATTACACCCTTAATCAAAGTGGAGATACAAAGATATTTAAGATCTAGTGACCATTCTACATCATTTTCATACATACTGGTAATGGAGATAGACATCTTGACAACTCTGTTGTTTAGCCCGAAACTTGTCATTGTAGCCTTAACTGGGTTTACGCTACCGCTGATCCCTCACACCATCCAGTCAGCCTGGCAAGTTAGTGCTGCAGTTCTCTAGCTGTCTTCTCTCTGTACCTGCCTTTACCTCACTACATTATCAGCAAATAACAGTGCGCACAGCCCCATATTCTAGATGTGCGTGACTCGTGTTGTGTAGACATTAAAAAGAACAGGTGACAATAGTGACCCTGACATGGATGTCCGCTACTTCGACATTCATGTCTTTTACTGCAGCACTATAATAGAGGGGGAGCTATTTTAAATCATTCGCTCGCCCTAGCTTGTTCTGAAGACAACTTATCGACACTAGGTTTAAAGCAATACGCAGTAAAATTAGAATGTGTCTTGAACCCTTTAAACAATTCCATAATTACGATTAGTTGAAACAACTGCTTCCTTCCCCACATCATCCTTGGACTGTGGAGAAAAACCCACATGTATGACATGTTAAAGACAAGGAGCGCAAGTTAAATGCATTCAAAAATAAATACTCGAGAAAACTGTTTAACGATAAATAAGATGAACTAAGAAAATGAAAAGGCGAAAAAAATAAGAGAAATATCTGGACAAACGTTTGTGTCAACAGTTATAAGACAAAAATGGTTGTAATATATTGGTCACACCATGAGGGGAAATAGATAGAGACTTATCAAATAATACTGCATTGGGAAACATAAGGACTGAATAAAAAAGGGGGCTCCTAAAAGAAACCCTAAAACGTCGGTTATTGAGAAAAGCCAAAGGCGATGAAATCAGTGATATCCAAAGGAATACATGGAAGGCTAACCCGGTCAACAAATGCCTGCAGATGTAAAGTGTGTCGGCAGAAAGGAGCAAATATCGCAGCCATGCTGTATATTAGAAGAACGCAGTTGCATGTTCGGATGAATGCAGACAAAAAAGAAAAAGAAAAAAAGAAGAAGAAGAAGAAGAAGAAGAAGAAGAAGAAGAAGAAGAAGAAGAAGAAGAAGAAGAAGAAGAAGAAGAAGAAGAAGAAGAAGAAGAAGAAGAAGAAGAAGAAGAAGAAGAAGAAGAAGAAGAAGAAGAAAGGAATGCACAGATTACAATGTAATGGAGGAATAGACTGCGATCTTTATGAAACGTCTAACAGTATGTTGATGATGATGACGATGATGATGATGATGATGACGATGATGATGATGAGGGTGATGATGATGATGAAAATGATAATGATGACGATAATCATGACAGGGAAATGACATACTGTAGCACAATCCCGTTTTCCTAATGTGAGATTACCTGCCACTCTGTCCATCTGTTCGCTTTATACAAAGCTCAGCAGTAATGAAACTCTCACAATTGGCTTATTGATTCCTTTCACAGATTCCTCTATAGTCAGATACACTCTGTGCAGACTGTTTCAGGTGCGGTACACGATGTTCAGATTTCATTTCCAAATGTCAGAAATGTACAAAACCTTAGGTTTGCTACTTTTTAAACTAAAAATTAACAGAAAACGATCTAGACGTATTCGTGAAAACTCTTATGTTGTTGTCTCTATTCCTTTGTTGTGAGTGTTAGTTCCAGGATTTGATTTTTTAACTACACTGTTAACCAAAAGTAATGGGAAACTACACATTAACACATGCTTTCTAGCATATGTAACAACACAGAAGCAAGGCACATTGTGAAATTTCTCTTAATGTTACATTTTTATGTTGATCCAAAAGGTGCAAAAATCGCTGCACATGGCTGCAAACCACAAGATAACATACTAGTCACCCTTTCAAGGGGCAACGCCTTAAAACGAAGAAATAGAATAATTGTTTCTAAAAAAAATTAAATTCGAGCTGGTGTTTGTATCCTTACCCTCGATCGTATCTTCTTCTTCTTCTTCGCGTTCACCAGCTGTAAACTCTGGCGGAAGGTTCTGGTTGCTCGTCCACTAATGAACTGCAGTCCTGCTCCAGAACCTGAGTGTTGCGTGTGCATCAGTTTTACAGACCACATTCTCTTGAATACAGACTGTTGGTTCCTTGCCTCTCCGGCAGATGCACTCCGACTTTAAAGGAAGCTCCCCAATTAGTCGACTCTTACGTATCAATTCAAGCAGTTTATTGTCTCCTTCAGCTTCCCCCCCCCCACCCCACCCCCTCATCTCCCCCCACAAAGTTGACAACCAGTGTGTTATTTACGCGTTTAACTAAAACTTAAATATCTATACAGACAAATATTTATGCATCATGGTTTTTCAACTTCTACACTTTGGATCTACTGAATAGGTTACTGATTTGTTGCTGTGGTACTCAGTTGATTTGCTAGCACAATATACTTTCTTGTTCTATATTTGTCCGTGTTTACCTAAGAAGCATTAGCTCTCAGCCAGCTCACGCCATATCGCCCATTCTTATGCTATCCCACACATCTCCCTCCTTTACCCCTCCCCCCACCCCTCTTCCCCACTAATCTTTTTAACATCCGCCTGAGTTTTCATTCTTCAATGAGAAACGCCTCCTCCATATTGGTTTGATAGACATTACGTTAATATTTCTTTTTTAGACTTTTGCATCGGTTAGCTGGTTTTTGCTGCTACGGGATGAGGCAGCCGACCCCGAACTTAACCTGCTGTTAGCCACATCGTTTTACGATTCCTGCATACATAAATAAATAAACGTTCTTCTCTTCTTCTATCTTTTGTCTGTCAGTTCTTCTATCTTTTGTCTGTCAGTTCTTCTATCTTTTGTCTGTCAGTTCTTCTATCTTTTGTCTGTCAGTTCTTCTATCTTTTGTCTGTCAGTTCTACTATCTTTTGTCTGTCAGTTCTTCTATCTTTTGTCTGTCAGTTCTTCTATCTTTTGTCTGTCAGTTCTTCTATCTTTTGTCTGTCAGTTCTTCTATCTTTTGTCTGTCAGTTCTTCTATCTTTTGTCTGTCAGTTCTTCTATCTTTTGTCTGTCAGTTCTACCATCTTTTGTCTGTCAGTTCTTCTATCTTTTGTCTGTCAGTTCTACCATCTTTTGTCTGTCAGTTCTAACATCTTTTGTCTGTCAGTTCTTCTATCTTTTGTCTGTCAGTTCTACTATCTTTTGTCTGTCTGTTCTTCTATCTTTTGTCTGTCAGTTCTACTACCTTTTGTCTGTCAGTTCTTTTATCTTTTGACTGTCAGTTCTTCTATCTTTTGTCTGTCAGTTCTATATTTTGTCTGTCAGTTCTACCATCTTTTGTCTGTCAGTTCTTCTATCTTTTGTCTGTCAGTTCTACCATCTTTTGTCTGTCAGTTCTTCTATCTTTTGTCTGTCAGTTCTTCTATCTTTTGTCTGTCAGTTCTACCATCTTTTGTCTGTCAGTTCTACTATCTTTTGTCTGTCAGTTCTTCTATCTTTTGTCTGTCACTTCTACTATCTTTTGTCTGTCAGTTCTTCTATCTTTTGTCTGTCAGCTCTACTATCTTTTGTCTGTCAGTTCTTCTATCTTTTGTCTGTCAGCTCTACTATCTTTTGTCTGTCAGTTCTTCTATCTTTTGTCTGTCAGTTCTTCTATCTTTTGTCTGTCAGTTCTTCTATCTTTTGTCTGTCAGTTCTACCATCTTTTGTCTGTCAGTTCTACCATCTTTTGTCTGTCAGTTCTTCTATCTTTTGTCTGTCAGTTCTTCTATCTTTTGTCTGTCAGTTCTACTATCTTTTGTCTGTCAGTTCTTCTATCTTTTGTCTGTCAGTTCTACTATCTTTTGTCTGTCAGTTCTACTATCTTTTGTCTGTCAGTTCTACTATCTTTTGTCTGTCAGTTCTACTATCTTTTCATTTCTTCCTATGAGTGCCGATCAAAACATTGTCTATCTGTTTTTTACAATGCATATACGTACATACACACTGATCTCTGTTGACTTTCAAATTTAGTACATTATTTTCCCTTTTTTTAAAAACTTGAGAAAGACAAGCCCAGTTACGGATAGAGCCGGGTAAAGAAAAGCGTAGAGGTGCCAGTCTGGTCACGGAGAAAATCTGTCAGCGAGAACAGAAATATGACGATATAAGAAACAATGTTTCTCAAAAAGCAACTTCTGAAGTTATTGGATATTCATCAAGTCAGGTATCGAATAAACTCCGTCACCTCATCGTTCATTTGTTATCCAACCAAAGATGGACACCGAGTAAAGGCCAGTTGTTATAGGAAACCTTCAGTGTTCCTTCTTCCAACACGTGTACCACACACATGAGTACCACACACATGAGTACCACACACATGAGTACCACACACATGAGTACCACACACATGAGTACCACACACATGAGTACCACACACATGAGTACCACACACATGAGTACCACACACATGAGTACCACACACATGAGTACCACACACACATGAGTACCACACACATGAGTACCACACACATGAGTACCACACACATGAGTACCACACACATGAGTACCACACACATGAGTACCACACACATGAGTACCACACACATGAGTACCACACACATGAGTACCACACACATGAGTACCACACACATGAGTACCACACACATGAGTACCACACACATGAGTACCACACACATGAGTACCACACACATGAGTACGACACACACGTGTGCGACACACATGAGTACGACACACATGAGTACGACACACATGAGTACGACACACACATGTACGACACACATGAGTACCACACACATGAGTACGACACACATGAGTACGACACACATGAGTACCACACACATGAGTACGACACACATGAGTACGACACACATGAGTACGACACACATGAGTACCACACACATGAGTACCACACACATGAGTACGACACACATGAGTACGACACACATGAGTACGACACACATGAGTACCACACACATGAGTACCACACACATGAGTACGACACACATGGCGAGCTTTCCAGTATATGAAGATAGATACGAAAATTTTTTTTAGGCTTACTATCATTACTATCATCATTAAGTGCCTTGCTGACTGGCGTGGGCGATCATGCCTCTCCGCAATCTGCCATCCGTAGCTGCGTGCATCAGTTCGTGTGTTGACACTCCTCCATGCCATGACAAAAGACTGTCAAGAATTTTTTAGTTCTGTCTTCCGCTGTCTCTCTTTCTACAAATGTTTCCAGCGGTTATATGTTCTATTTTCCCTCTTCTCGTAACATGACCACAGACATGATGACTGTCACTTTCTGATGTTTGTGATAAGTTGTCTCCAAGCACATAAAAACATCTGTCTTGCTCTTTTTAGCTATCTGAGGAATTGTAAGGATTCGTCTGTAAAACCACATCTGCGAGGCCTCAGCTGCTGTTTGCTGCCACTACATTTTCTTTATAATTCGTAAATCTGTTCCATCAATGTTTAATTTTTCCAATAGTTTGATTATTTCTTCATATTTGATATAATCACATGTTTTCGGATTGTCAATGAAGCATTAGTAAAGATTGTTTTTAACTTCTATAGTTCTTTCCAAAAGAGTCCAGGCGATGTACGAATACATGGCATTGTTTGTGCCCTTTCCTTCTACAAATCTCCACTGTTCTTCATTAATGTCTGGTTTAATCTTGTTTCTTATTCTTCTAATAATTATTCTCTATAATATTTTTGTCACATGACTCATAAGACTTGTGAACGATATTTTGTATATTTTCTTCACGTTATGCCGGTGTGTTGGGAATTGAGCAGGCAGATAGACTAGCCGGTTCTGCACCACTTGGTGGTGAACTGATGTATGACAAGCTGGATGTTGTAAGGGCCCTTTGGGAGCGATTGAACAGTGCCGAGGAACAAATAGATCATTACGGTTCTGGCCGAAGCTCGACTCTTAGGGAAAAGGCGAGACGGATATACAATCAGACAGTTACTGGTACCATCGGAATTTTAACTCTTCGCTTGCTGCTGAAGATGGGGACGGGGCACTTATGGGGGTGTCCAAAGTGCTGTGATGTCGGTTCTTAATTCAACATTCAATATGGTACGATAGTCTTCACATTTTAAAGTGCCTGGTTTCTTTGGCAGAGCAATAAATTTAGATTTTAATAGGTCGTTAGGAATGTACCCACTATTATAAAAGTCAGTTAACAATTTTGTTATTTTTGTTCAATTCCCCAGTTAATATAGTTGCATTCGATACACCATTGAGAGATTTTCTACACATAATAAATGGTAGCTGAGTTCGACACACTTTGTGGAGATTTTCTGTTTGCAGGAATCATGAGTTCTGCACGACTAACTTTTAGAGACTGCCAGCTAATGTAAGTGGAGTTGAGTACGACCAACTATTAGAGACTGCCAGCTAATGTAAGTGGAGTTGAGTA